CAATCCTTGCCCTCCTCCTGCTGGCCACACTAGTGCTGATAGAAGCAGGGATGCTGGTGGCCTTCTTGGCTGCCTGGGCACACGTTGGCTCATCTTCGCATGGCTGTGGACCCACCACCCGCAGGTCCCTTTCCGCTGGGCAGTTTCCAGCCACTCTTCCCTGAACCTGGAGCACTGCAGACGGTTGTGGTGACCCAGGGGCAGAACCCAGCACTTGGCCCTATTGAACCATATCCCATTGGCCTCAGCTCATGAATCCAGCCTGTCCAAATCCCTCTTTAGAGCCTCCCAACCCTCAAAGTCCCACTCAACTTGGTGTTACCTGCAAACTTACTGAGGATGCCTCAATCCCCTCATCCAGAGGATTGATAAAGACATTAAACAGAACTGGCCCCAGTACTGACCTCTGGAGAGGGCTCAGTATTCTAGAAGGGTTGCTTGGATTCAGTGACTACATTTCAAAACCAGAACACTTCTCTAGTTTTCTTTGACATATGTGGAAGTATGCTGTTTAAAAACTGGCTGCAAACAGCCAACACTCCAATTTGCAGGCAGGTCAACACCTAAGGATCAGTGTCCCCCAGCTCCCATTGCCTGTGCTCTACTGGCATCAGTCTGCAATGGAAGAAAAGCTTTGCGAGGTACTCCTGTCCCAGACTTTTGGTTCAGTATGTAAACACACTGCACACAGGCAGCACAAAACCACGATCCAATTATCTGCTCATTAGTTCTCTTTCAAATAGAAAACAGTGAACTTCAAGCCTTCTTCTGACTTCCCCAGAAAAAGTGTGCTTTTCAAAGCCTGCAGCCAAGTTACGCAGGAAATAAACGCTAGACGCAGACCTGGGTGGGGAGAACATGGTTTAATTAAAGGCAAAGCTGATTTCAGCAGCTGCAGTTCTTGCACAGACAGACAAAAAACACAAAAGAAGCTTACGACACAAACCAGTTTCTGTTGGGGGCCTCTCCCCTCGCTCCCCCCGGGGCCGTCGGGAGGAAGGGGGGCCCCAGCCGAGCCAGAGGCGTTC